GAAGAAAGTCGCGCTCCCGTGCGGAGCATCCTCAACAATTTACGTCGATTTTCATTCAAAATTATGCTCCCGTGCGGAGCATCCTGAAAATGTTGAATAAATTGCGCTGGCGTGCAGAGCATCCTTAAAATATCATCGATGTTTCATCAAAAATTGCGCTCCTATGTGGAGCATCCTCAAAATTCGGTCGATTTTTCATTACATATGTACATACATACATACATACATACATACGTTTCGAGCCTTATATATGCCTTATATATCTCTACTAGAGATTTACAAGGAGCCCCACATGGGAGGTCGCAACAACCCCAAAATCCTGCAACTGTGGCCAATTTGAAATACATACATACATACATACATACATACGTACATACATACCCATCTGGTGTGATCTGCGCGGCTGTCTTTTCTGAAAAAAGCCAGGCGCTCAAATCACACCAGGTTTTGCGCATCCAGTCTTCCAAAGTCAGTGGACAAAACCCGGTGTGATCTGTGCGGCTGTTTTTTTCTGAAAAGCAAAGCGCGTAGATCACACCAGATTTTGCCCATGCATTCTTCCCAAAGTCCATGCACAAAATCTGGTGCGATCTGCGCGGCTGGAAGTCCTGAGATTGCTCACGCCGCAAGAATGGCCAAGCGATCTGCCGGGTCCTTTTTGAGCGGCGGCCGAGCTGGAGCCCGCTATTCACAAGAAGGAGAGCTGGATTGCCGCATCACGCGGATGTGGTTCGGTGGCCCTTGCGTGCTCTTCTCGAAGCTCGAGCACAAAAGGTCAAGAAAACGGAGCTGAAGCAGAAGCTGCTTGATTGTCAGTCCGCCTTGCGAGAGTGGGAAGCTGCCTGTGTGAAAAGTGTGCATCATGGGGTCAGTCTTTTCGATTCCGGGCAGCTGCGATGTTTGAAGCTTCTGCTCTGTGAAGGTTCCTAACTGGCACCCGGTCTAACCGCGCGCGATCCGAGATGAGGGAATGCGGCAGACCGCCGGCGTGATCTGGCCCGGCCTGGAATCCTTGGTGAGTGCGGCCGATATGTTGCTGCAAGCATTTAAATGCATGGCCCCAGCAGACCCAAAACTAGTGCTGCATATATATATATATATACATACACATGTAGTTACACTCTTCCTCCATCCATTTCATTCTATCCGCGCCACATGCTCTCCACTACGTCCCCAGTTATCGTCTCGTCCTCTCGTTATTCTTTATTTCGGCGGGCGACGGCATCGTAACATTCTCTCATTTAGATTGAGGTTAAGCTACACATGTGGGGTTCTCCGGTCTTTTAATAAAAGTAGTATTATTAGTAGTACTAGAGCCAGGCCTTCCTTTTCCAGGAGCACCTGGCCTACGCATCGAAGAGGCTGACAAAGGCACTGGATCTGTCAAGAGGTAATGCTGCTGATACTAAAAAACATGCATGACCTTAACATACTATAGTACCCCAATAAGGTACTTTGTTTCATGCAGGATTTTTTGTATCCACCGTATCAGGCCCAACATTCTGTGGTTTTTGGAAGGATCGAGAGCCGATCGATCCCGTCGTGGCAGGGTCGTACTAGATGATTGGTTCAAAAAGCTCTGCCTGGAAAGCGCGGCTGGTCACAATTTGCACGCATGCTCAACTGCAGCTCACATCAAAGTTGGCTCCTACCTGCTGATCGCAGAGGCGTTGAGGCTCAAGATCCCACTAGTCCTTTTGGCCAAGAAATGTTTCTTGAGTTTCCTTGTTCCAAACGTGCACTGCCGGCACCTGTTTACTCTGGCCCATGTTGCCGAAGGCCTTCGGCATTTCAAGCCAAAGCTGTCAGGCAAGGGGCAGGCCTCATTCTTCTTGGAGGTTTGGCGTCCCTCCGTAGCCAAAGTTACTTTCATCGGCGAAGGCAGCAGAAGAGGCTGCGTTCCGCTCGAGCTGTTGGAGGGGCACCCTTGCCCAAGCTTACTGCACGCCTGAGAATTGAAGGCAACAGCTTCGTCGACGACCAAGGTCGCATCGCTGTTCCGCGGGGAATCAATTTTTCAGGATTGTCCAAAGTACCTGTCGTTCCCGATGGCGCAACACACATTACGGGACGCTGTTTTTATTCCCATCGTGAGGTGTCCTTTGTTGGGCGGCCGTGTCCGCTTGAAGATTTGGAGGGTCACCTGCAACGTTTGCGAGAATGGGGCTTCAATTTGCTGAGGCTACTTGTCACATGGGAAGCTGTGGAGCACGCCGGACCTGGCATATACGATGAGGAATACCTTGATTTCATCCGGACCGTTTGTTTGCGGGCGGGAGACTTCGGCTTTTGGGTTGTCATCGACCCCCATCAAGACTGCTGGTCAAGATGGACAGGTGGAGATGGTGCTCCAGGCTGGACGCTCGAGGCATCCCGACTGAAAACACGTTGGTTTTAGCACGCAAATCTTCAAATCCAAGAATCCCCCTTCATTCGGTCCTTCTTGGGTCATGTTAGGGCATATCAAAGCTAACTAAGTGAGAACTTGGGGCAGGTAGTAGAGCTGGAAAATACAAGAAGTCGCAGCCTGACCCTTACTGCTGGGTTTCCATCCGAGGCTGCTGGCTTTCGTGTCGGCCCTGGCCTACACAAGTCTGGTGCTGCCTTTCTCCATCAGGAGAATGGTGACCCGTTGCCATCAATGTCCTGGCCGTCAAACTACGACCGATTGGCATGCGCAACCATGTTTAGAAGCTGAGCGAAAGTTTCAGATATGTCAGTTTCCATGAATAGGGGGGGACCCCAATTTAGACACCAAAATACTATTATCCTTATGTTTTTGAGCTCCAGAAAAGGAAACTCCCGTGGTTCAGATGTGGCCACTAAAATTCATCATCAGGCTGTCCCAGCCTGAGACCTGCCCCATCCCACTGCAGCCCTCGCATTATTTGCTCCTGACATGAAAAATAGGGAGCAAGCAAGCTTTGGGATCATCGGGCTCGTGGCCTATTCCAGCAGAGATGTTGGGCAGGGCTTTCTCCGAAGGTTTGGCGATGTTTGGCGCTTGGGCAAAAAACTGTATTGCATCAGAAGGTTGAGGCAATCCCGAAATCCTCAATTCACCAAGCGCAAGTCAATTGCGAGCCCTAAAGAAAGATTGACCCTGTTCCTGTGAAACCTGTTGAGACTTCTCAAAGATTCAAGATCCTTAAGTGAACATGGGTCGCTTTTTCTCCTATTGCGTCCTCTGCCAGTGGTGTCCAACCTACTTCCCTGCGCCAGCGGGTTGTGTCTTGCCTCTTCGGGGAGTGTTGCCTACATCTGCGCTGTCCAGTCCACAAAACATCGTTTGAGGTTCACTCAGACGCTTCTCAACTTATTGCTCCCTATACACATCCTGCCGCGAGCAGAAAAGGGCGAATAGCGACGTTAACGTAAAATGAGATTGCTCAAACTTGCGAGGAGAAAGTAGCAGAAATGGCGGCCTACTCGGCCTCCTGTTTGGCAAAATGTCCCAAGTGGTTGCACGCAAGGCTCGGTTTTATGCGCGTGTAAAAGCCATACTTGAGGATTCTCGAAGGAGTCCCCTACAATCCCGAATCAGGTCCCGGTAATCCCCTTATATGGGTCAGCATGCCGTTTCTTTCCCAATGGTCAGCGATATAGAGTATGATATACCCCCCCTTTGGGTTCTGCGGCTTGTTGTTTGGGTTTTGTGGTTTAAATTAGGTCTATAAAAGGGTCTATATTGTTTGTAGATTTCTTATACAGGGCTTAAAGGAAGTTGGCAGAACAAGGGCGAGTCCACATCCCGATTCAGACCCCGATCCAGAGCTCCGGATCAAGTCCCCGCATTCCATTCCAGACCCCTCCGTTCCAGACGATCGAATGCAACATCTGAAAATTGACGTTGCGCTGGGTNNCCTGTTCCATACCCGTTCCAGACCAAACTATTCAGCGCATACCCACGCTGTATCATTGTGGGAGCCAGCAGGCGTCAGCCATCGTCCCAGACCCTCCGGATCAAGTGTGCTATCCAGACCCTCCGGATCAGACATCATAGGAACGTGCACTCGGGGCACGTGGTTTTGAACAATAATGTAAGAATAGAAGTTTCACAAAAGATTGAAGGGTTTTCTGGAGGGTTACAAGAGGGCTTGTGAATGTGTTCTAGGATTCTAAAGGTTTAAAGAGATTTTTTACAGTCTTTATGGAGGGTGTATAGAAGGCTCATAAGTTACAGAGGCTTCATAGGTTGTATAGAAGGTGAGACGTTTCTGGAGGCTTTTCAGAGGGTTTATGAAGGTTAGATAAAGCTTCAGAGAAGGCAGGTAACCCCGCCTGTGGTCCTGAGGTCCTGTGGCCTCTAGTCTGGGTCTTGCTGTGTAAGCTTTATAGGTTTACGATGGTTTACGTACACTTCGTGGTTCGTGGGGCTTATGGGCATTGCCTCGTTTTCAGGCGGACCACATCATGTCGGAATACTGTACTTATATCTCAAGGCTGCCGGATTCCAAAGCATTGAACGTCAAAGGCAGGATGATGGGACTTGGCAAGTAGGTCCTTATCTAGGTTACGCCAATGACCTGTGTTATGTTTTCATCCGCATTGAGTCCCAGTAACCTCCCAGCACAGTAACCCAGTGGAGGCCAGGCCTCAAAGACTATACTAGGGACCTTATATGGAGTTGGGCGTAGGTTGTATGATCGAAACATTTGCCTGGTGGCATCGCACAGTGCACGAAGGCCTTGTTATGCAACTACAACTTTGACACGGCATGCCTGCAAGCTACCCGCATGCCATGAACGGCAGCAAGGCCTCTTCTGGGCTGGAGATCGGGTCGCACCTGGCATAAGAAGCCGGCTGGGACCAGGCAACTGGGCTGTTGCAACTGAAGTAGGGGATGCCGCCACATGTTTTGTTCGGCAGGGCAGGTGAGATTGAAATTTGCCGCTGTGGTGGCTGAGTTGATCCTTCAGAGATCTCTAGTCACACCCACATGCAGCAACAGACGGCATGCTAAGTCTACGAAGTTGCACGTCAGCACCACAAACATTGCAATGGAATCCTCGGGGCTGAAGCCACACGCCCGTCGATGCCACGAGCTGCCCCTGAAGGTGGTGCAAGGAGTTCCTGCAAGGACACTTCGTAGGATGCTGTCATAGAACTGCTTAGGCCCGGCCCTCCCAAACATCTCCGAACCATTTCGCTCGCACCATGTCAGGACATCTCGAGCTCCCCTCGGCTATGGCGATGCCCGCCGAATAACGGCGCGGTCCGCATGGGCAGAGCCGCTTGAAACCTTAAGTGGCCTTCCCAACAGCCCCTCTGTGCCGCAGGGCCCTGGGAGGCCGGCCACATCCGCCGGGAGCGCAAACTTGCGCTCCTGGCTGCTGCGTCGCAGCAGGTGCCTGCAACGCCAGGAACTGCGAAACAATCCCGAGACGTCGCCCACGCTCCCACAAGCTTGCAACGTAGACTTGGACCAGGACTTTGCTATCCATCAGCCATTTAGATGGATACCCATACAAGTGCGTGATCTGGAAGACAACTACTTCCAGGGAGTCTATGTGAATTCTCTATCACTGCGTTTTCAGCTGGGGCCAGGGATATCTTGGAAGCGCCTGGATGTTGACAAGTCCAAGTGTTTTTGTGAAGCACCAGTGTCTTGCTGTTCCATGGAGTCCAACATTGTGTTATGCAAGGGGCTGGTACGCTCTCAGTCTCAGTCAAGGACGTATTCTGGTGTCATTGCTCAGCTGCCTCCCGACATGTGCCCAAGCTCCGCCATGACCTTCACTGTACTTTGTAGAGAGCCTGGCTCCGAGCTCTCATTAGCTGCTATTGTGGTTACGCGAGAGGGAATGATAGTGGGTGACCTGCCACCTGGGCACTGCGTAGATTTAAGTGGCATCAGGTTCGCTACTCGGGGTGGCTTTCCCTTGACGGATGGAATACAGCTTTTCAGCTGCAGAGTTGGCACTCAACGGTTCGGCATGCTCCAAGGCAGAACTTCCACAAAGTTTTTTCATGTACTGGAAGACCGCGCAATTGCCTCTATCCCACCTGATTTCACGCCCACTCAGCGCATCGCTTTTGCAGCACCTGGCAGTCGATCCAAAAGCTTTCACTTGCTGCACTTGGAGCCAAGCCCAGCTGGTGGAGACTTGCGATGGAGCGATGCTGTGTTCCACCGAGATGAACTTGAGATTTCTGGAGTGATTTTTGAGATGCTGGGTGATGTGCAGTGCCTTCCATCTGCCTTAGTGAGCAATTGGAGCGAGGCTCGAAGACAGATTGTCCTGATGGACTTTCACAAGCTGCTGCTTTCAAGGTATGGCAGCTTGAACGTGGCATGGGAGGAGGCTTTCGATGTTGCAGATTACGGATATGTAGACTTCGCCCAGTTTTCTCAGGGCTGCAGGCGTGTCAAGTACAGCGGCAACGTTTGCCGACTTTGGTCAATGCTAGATTGCCAGAACGAAGGTACCGTCAGCTTTGAGGCGCTGCTTGGTCGGTCCATGCCCCGGCCTGCCACGAGCAGGTACTGATACTGTAGACTGCTTCCTCAAGGGAAGCTGCTGCCAGTCAAGCAAAAAAGGCCTCAACTGCTTGTTGTCTGCTTTATGTTGCGCATAAGTTGAGGCTTCAAAGTGCCAGGTGACGCTCCACTCCAGCAGCTTCTACAAGCTGGCTTCATCAATGCCATGGCACGTTTGGCCAGGACTTCGGCAAGAAGTGCGATTTTGCTCTAGCCTATGAAAGCTGTGAGGAGTTTGAAGGGCATTCCATGCGTGCTGGGCTTTGAGACAATGAATGAACCTCATCCTGGATGGCTCGGCACTGTCCTTACACTCGGGAGATTTAATGAAGATAATGCCCAATAGCTTGTCCTCCTCGAAGCTGCCAAGAAGAGTTCAGGAAGAGGCAGTTTTGCCGAAGCTCAGATTGGCGCAGTCTCGTCAGGACTGAAAACTTTTTTGCGGGCAGGGGGAGCCAAAACACAGCTGAGCGGCGCTACATGAAGCCTTCACAAAAACTTAAAGGAAGACACCCCATCTCAGTCATATTTCCAGCCTAAGTTATAGCAAGCAGCACCATTGACAAAAATCTTAAGATTAGCACGCAGCCCCTATCATCTCTGGGTACTGCGAGCAGATCCCCAATCTGACAGGACAGAGCCCGCTTGAGCATTTGAAGCGATGCGCTTCTGGCGAAGCAACCCCATGGGCCACCTCCTGCTTTTGGGCAGAGGCAGGAGTGTGGGACCCCTCCAGTCAGAAGCTGCTTGACGACGAACGCTTTGAGTGTGATTGGCTGGCTGACTGCTTCGCGCCGTTCGTTAAAAGATTTACGGAAGCAATTCTTGCAGAAATGCCCGAAGCACTGATTGGTGTATGCCCGCCAGCCTTCGGCAAAGAAAGTCAACGTGCATTTCCAGAAAAGCTTCACCCCCAAGCTTTTTGGGCGCCACACTTCTACGACGGCGTCGTGCTCGTGGGAAAAACGTGGACTCCTTCATTTGGGATTGAGGAAACAACGCCAGGCACAACGCTTTTCGGTGGCTTACTGCCCGCACCGCCTGTTCTTCCAGTTTTCGGATTGCAGGAAAGACTGGCATCATACAAAAGACAACTGCAACAAAAGTGCCGTCTGGCTTCGCAAGAAACTCCCAGCATGCTTGGAGAGATTGGGGTGCCGTTTGACATACAGTCTCCAGGCATGGCGACATCAGATGCTTTGTGTGAAGCCATTGATGTGCACATGCAAGCCTTGGAGGAGCTCATGTTGCCCTTTTGTTGGTGGAACTACACCCCAGAGAATTCTAGAGCGAGGGGAGATGGTTGGAATGGTGAAGACTTGTCAATCCTTGGAGAGGGCGAAGGACGTGCCCTGGACTCGATTGTGCGCCCTTGCCTTCTGCTTTGTTCAGGGAGGCCCGTGCATCAGAGCTTCAATCTTCGAGAGGGGCGCTTCCAGTGCGAGTTCGATGCCAAACCCGGGGAGTCTGTCTTCTTCATCCCGTCCAAGCACTTCACGGGTGACAATGCCATCCTCTCTGTCACACCTGGCATAGATGCAACATGGAATGTAGGCTTGCAAGTTCTGCTTTGCCGCTCCGATCGCGCGGGCCGCGTGGCTATTGACTTGCGTCAAGAAGGTGTGCAAGATATTATTTGGGGTTGGTTGTAGACTTCCTAATTCAGCATCCCCAGTCATTGCAAATGTTTGCTTTACTCATCGCGTTGACATCCCCGCAGCAGAGGTTCAGAAAAATATGTGAGCACAAGCCTCCAGCTAGCTTATATTGGCAACACGCAGAGTCTTGTTGGAAGCTGGCAAGCAGTGCACGGGCATGAAGGAGAGATGTACAACACGAGGTCCTGCAGAGATCCCAAGTTGTGATAGTCATGGCAAGACATTGGGGGAGCATATATAGACAGATAATTGAAGGGTGCAGTGGCATTTGCAAGGACAAGGGTATGATGTGAATGGCAGTTCATTGCGACTGGAACTGAGCCATGCAGCAGCCTCCACCACAGTCATTGCTAGGCACAAGATCAAGTTGCCTTGCAGAGTTAGCAGTAGCTGTCTTTGACAGGCATCAATAGACCTCTAGACTTTGGGATCAGGCCTATTTGCCGTCAAGGGTTTGGAGCTGCCTCGTGTTGCGGGATTGGGATTGTCTGTCGTGTCATGCTGTTCGCTCCTGAAGGGTGTTGCATTCTGGGTTTTCCTGGCTTGGATTGTATACAGGGGTTGAGTTGCTTCAGGTTTGTGGTTCGGATTGGTTGGGGCTGAGGCTTGGGTGTGTTTAGGATTTATGCTTGGGGCTTTTTAGGGTTGCGGGCTCAGGGTTGTTCAGGTCGAGGGTTCGGAGTTCTTTGGGGTTTAGGGCTTGGGGTTGTTGAGGGCTTATGGTTGGTGTTTTGCGCGGGCTCTCTGACCAATTGCGCAAGCATTGCCCCCTTCCATTTCTCAAGATTTGGCCGTGTTAGCAAGCTATACAGTCGACTCGCTGTCCTCCCGACCCCATCACTCTAACTTCCTGTGCGGCTCGTGCTCGTCCTTGGCAAGTAGAGGTTGTTGTGGGTGTACTCCAGGGCCTAGCCACCATTGTTCGGCGCACGAGCTCTGTAGACATAGTCCGTCCAGGAAATGAAATTTCCCCGAAGTGAAGCTAACTATCCTGGATGCGACAATGATCTGTCAATGATGACTGTCCATGACGTGTCACGGATGAAGGTACGGCTGGGCTGAACGTCATAGTCTTTGGCCTTGGGTTGGAATAGAACATGGTCGAGCAGTGCATTTTTGCACTTCACGTGGTGTGTTGACATTACAGCCAGGAGGAAGATTGACTTTGTTCTGCTCGACGCGCAAGCCAGATTCCTCATATTATGGTAAACTCCAAACCC